GGCGGCGATGATAGCGTTGCTTCTGTTCAAGACGCCGTTGAGGAAGCTCGTCATAATGGGGTTGGATCGGTTGAAGCGAGGTCGTGGACCCTTGATGGTCAAGTCCGTTGCGGGGACCCTGTTTCTGGTGTTGCTTTCGAGTGTCTACAGCATGTTCAAGATTCAGAAGCGTGAGATCCAAGAGGGTGCTGCTGTTAATCCCACCGATCAGGTTCTCATGGCCAACCACCTCCTCCAAGCTACACTCATGGGTATTTTTCTTATCTTTCTTTTTTCGTTTGTTTATTTCTTTTATGAATTCCTGATCTGATTCCTCTCTGGAAATAAGGTAATCCCAAATCAAATCATTCCCTGCATCAGGTTTCTAGTTTTTAATTTGTTGGCTCCTTCTGGGGATGTCTATGTTGCTGTATGCTACTGATTGATTTATGGGAAAAATCTCATAGTTACACATCGACTTAGAGATAATTCTCATCTTATAAGCCATGTCCATTGTCACATTCTTGAGAAATTTAAATGCTGGGAGACGGTGATTTTATTTTATTTTGGGGGAGGGGATTTTTAATAGAAGAATGAGATGTGTATGGTTTTCAATGTTGGGGATTTTTTTTTTCTTCTCACGAGCAGAAAGTATTTTGTTGTGTCATTGCCTGTGATGTTAAATTTTGTAGTTTTGGATTACTATGAATTATAAGCGTGAGTTTGTAGGGTCTGATTGTCTGGGTCATGTTCGCAAAGGATGCAGGTTCTCTGCTGAAACTGTATGGAAATCTTTGTTTTTTGTCCAACTGTCTGAGTCACAACCATAGAGACATTACTTTTTGTTCCTTCGTTTTTCTTTTTGCTAGACAAGGCTTGCAATTTTTCAATCTTGGTAAATCAGACTTAGAATATGCATTCGAGATTTGAGTCATCTAATCTTCATCCAGCAGTTCTGATTCACTGACATCATGAATGCATGAAAAATCTGACTACAGAGGATCCAAGTCAGCTGTGTGTATGTAAATGAAGCCCAGGCATCTTATTGGTTTTGCAGTGCTTCAGCCTAGTGGTTTCTTCTATAGTGATTTTCCCACTTTTTGCAACCCTCTTCTATAGTCAATTCTTTTACGATAATGATGTGCTCTTTTACTAGACAGTATGCTATGTGAAGCATATCATATTCAACATAATTTCCTTAGCTTTCCTGCAAGTTTTGCGCCATTGATTTATCATAACACTGGTCACTTCTCAAAAACATGAGGAGAGAGAATTTGCAGCTCTGATCCAGCCCAAATACTACTGTTTTTTGTTTCTGTACCTATTTTTTCTCTCTCTAATTTTCTGAAATATTAAGAGACCTCCTCTATGGAAGCTGGCATTACTCATCTTTAATCAATTATTTGCAGGTGCTGCCCTTTTTCTTGCGCTTATGATAGACAGACTACATCATTACATAAGAGAACTCCGGATTCGAAGAAAGGGCATGGAAGCTGTCAAGAAACAGACCAGAGGGTATGAAGATGGAAAAGCTGTAAATTCAGAAGAAATTAAGGCCGCAGAGGAAGAAAGAGCCAGATTGAGAGCTGAACTTAGCCGCCTAGAATCTGAACTACAGTCAAAAGCTAAAGACGTAGATGTTGCAGAAGCCAATGTAACTGCTCTGAGAAAACAATCTGAGGGGTTCCTTCTTGAGTACGATCGCTTACTTGAGGAAAACCAGAACCTTCGCAATCAACTACAATCCTTGGACAGGAAATTGTCATATTCAGGTTCCAAGAAGAATATGTAAGAAATATTGCAGGCAGGAATGGCTTCTTCTTGTATACTCTTCAGGAATTCCATAGCAGATTGTTGATAACAGCTTGTCAATCCTTGTATGCATGCTCCTCAAGGAATACGGTTTTCGCTTTTGAGTTAAATTTGGATCAATTTTGTCCTGACAAATTGTGAAATTTTTTGAGTGACGACAGAAAATATAGTGCTGATTTGTTTTTTCTGCACATATGTAACTTCTGCAACTTCTGTTTCACTATTTAAGATTCGACAAACTGTGAAGGGTTGTGCCCAGAAATAGTGCTCGATGTTATTTAAGTTTTCTCTTGGTACTTAATTTTGTTAATCATTTATCCTATTTAAGTGATGTATGTCCCAAGAACTCTTCGCAGGTGCTTCAAGCGGCTGAAGTCTGCATTAAAAATTTTTGACTAGGACCGCAACAAATTTTTGTAGATACCAATATTTTTGGGATTTGGATAATTTTCTTATAAAAAGGACATTATTTTATAATTTATAAAAGCAAATGACAGTTTGTGTGCAAAAATGGTTGATCCCTGCATTATAAATGGTGAGTTCTACACAAGATTGCCCCTAGTTCTCATAACAGGATAAGAAAATGGTTAAAATCTTTATTCACTTTTCTCATGTATTCTTTAGTGAAGAGGTTTTTGCGAGAAAAGGACGGTTAAGATCTGTGAATTCATTCAAAGGAAAAAGAATGCAGGTTATTGAAGCTGTTTCAGTGTTTCTGTATTTCATGACCTATGTCTTATTTGGAATAGCTTTTAAACTGTTTTCATTAAGATTTTTCAGAGACAAGCATGTGGAGTTCTGACAAGTTCATTGATACTTGTAAGATGTTGGTTGAGATGATTTTTGAAAAAGTTAATATGCATAAATTAACTTTAATTTTTGAAAAAAGTTTGATTCTTTTTTAGTTCTTTAATTCATCATTTTGTGATTGCTGAGAAGTTTATGCTAAGTGGCAGATAGTTTCGACGGAAAAAACATGGTTTTGAGGGAAAATTTCATTAAAGGTGATCAAATAGGTTTTATGAAGGAGATTAGTTATGGTAAAATCTTAGTATTATGTTTTTTTTGGGATATAAGTATAATTTCCTGCTTCCAAGTCGCTAAGCAACTGAAAATCCGACTCGTGTTTTCTTTTTGTGATCTCCTAAAGATTTGACATCTTATCCTCTTCGATCGATGTTGATTAAGAATGTTTTGTATGAAATTAGTTTCGTACTTTCATAATCTGCGTGGAAAGAAATTTGGCCCATTTAAAATATAAAATGAGAATGATTGAAATTGATGAATAAAATTGTGATAAAACACTTACACACACATATAAAATAAATTTAAAATTATGAATTCTTTACGCATATGTCCGGCTCTTTTAGGCACGCAGAACAGAAGCAGAGGCAGTTGCTAAGGGTGGGTGACTTTTCCTATGTTGGATAAAGTGGGGATCTCCTTACTCTGAAAGCATAGGTAATTGTGCACATTGCTTTAATATTCACACTTCACAGGATTAAGTATATATAAATTAAATTATCAATTTTGTTAACATTGTGCATATGTCCGAGAAAACAAAAAAAAAGTTTGCTCAACAACCATGTTTTTGCTTTTTCGATAAAAAGTTTTGATTGAGACCACTAAAAATCACAAACATAAATAGATGCATACAAAAATAGAAGGTTAAATACTTCTGTCCAAATAATTTAGACGGAGTTAACTCTTGTTGATGTGACATCTACGTGGATGCTACGTGGATGCGTACGTGGATGTCAAAATTTCTGAAAAAACCTCGAATCAAAACGGCCTGTTCTGAAATCAGAATTGTTCGTTCTGGATGTACTCTTAGTGTGTTAATTTTGCAACCGGAACGGGCCGTTCCAAATGCAAATTTCACACACCATCAGTGCATCAGAACGGGCCGTTCTGAAACCAGAACGGGCCGTTCTGGCTTTAGAACGGGCCGTTCTGGATTCAGAATGGCCCGTTCCAGAAAGCCAACTCCATGCATCCGTTGACCAAAATGCTGCAACGTGATTCAAAAATTAAAAATAAAAATTCATAACATATCATAAATTCAAAGACAGAAACGTGGTTCAGAAATTGAAAACAAAAATTCAGAACATAACATATACTAAAAAAGTTCAAAAAAATTACTGAGAAAGGAAATCATCTGTGTAACGCTGAAGGGAAACCATAAACCACAAAAATTCAGGTTATACCTCTTCAAGAACATATTGTTATTGTTGGGATACATCGTTAATAACTTCAAGGGAAAACACCGTTTTGTTTCATCCTTGACTGTATAGTGTCAATTTGGTAGTAAGTGGTTCACTCCAGTTTGACTAACAATAAAATAAAATCTGTTACCATTGTCCTTAATGATACACTGCATTGTCCTTAATGATACACTGTATAGTCCAACTGTTTAGCAATTGAAGTTATTAATTTTTATTTACAATATTACCAAATTCAGTGTTTGAAATCCTTTGTACCTTGGGTCTTTTTTCTTTCAGGATTCACAACCGTAAACTATAATCAGTGACCATTTGTGTATGGTATTCTGGAACCAGAACGTCCCGTTCTGGTTGCACTCTTAGTATGTTAATTTTGCACCTGGAACGGCCGTTCTGGATGCAAAATTAACACACCAAGAGTGCATCCAAAACGGGTTGTTCTGGTTTCAAAACGGGCCGTTCTGGTTTCAGGTTTTTCCAGAAAATTTTGGCGACCACGTGCGCATCCACGTAGATGTCACGTGGCATCCACGTAGATGTCACGTGGCCAACAGTTAACTCCGTCTAAATCATTTGGACGGAAGTCCCAAATTGCACTAATTTAAATTATTAGAGACCAAAATGAGACCAAAAATTAAAATAGGACTAAATTGAAACAAAAAAAATGTTATGAGGGACTAAAAGAGGTATTTAACCAAAATAGAATTAATAGCACAAAAATATAAGCTCCTAGACCACTGCTTTTAAAACACATTCTATGAGAAATTAGCCACCATAGGGAGTGTTAACCATCAAATCAATTACCAATATTTAGAATTGCAGATAACAAACCTTGTAGCAATTCTATAAAGAGGCTCGTGTCTAGTTTTAATTAACAACGGAAGTTTGAAAGAAATCCTTAATTTTTTTAACTATAAGCATAAGAAATTACCATTTTAAAAATATTATCTGATACGCATTCATTGAACTCACTCTGCGCATGATGATTCACAAAGCCAGGCGCAAGCTATTAGTTATGGTCCTTATGGATGGGATTAAATTTGGCACAGTTAACTCATTATGTCGCACACACACATTGTCCCATATTATATTATGGTAATAATGAAAAGGAAAAGTGTTAAATTGATCCAAAGTGAAATTAAAGAGAGAAAGAAGGAGCAGAAAGCAACGGATGATAAAAATTCTCATCTTATGAGAATCAAATATTTGATAGGAAACAATCACTAGACATACAAAAACTGATAATGATTCCCTGCTGCGACAGACACAGTAGGTGCCTCTAAGATAACAATCATCTTCACTAATAGCATTCCAATTCCATCTACTCAATTCAATAACAGTTGCAACTACAATGTTAGGTTCACAAAAAGTCACCAAACCAGTCTCATCACAAACCATGTAGGAAAAAGTGTCCGTTTTGGAAAGGGACAACCCCTCCAAAGGGACCTCATTGCTTCTCACCGTGACCCATTCATCCCCATCATCCCAAACAGGCTCATCCGAAAATAACCTACGAATTCTGTCCCTAGGAGAGGGACATTCACGTGCACCATGATGAGTTGTCTCCAACGAGTCCCAAAACCCTCGTTCCAACACACATGTGGGAGTGTCCGAATCCAACAACAACAAATTCAATTCCGTGCACTCCTTAACAAAACCGTGTCCAAGAAGCTCCTCCACCGACCACCTCTCACTAGCCTCCCTCTTCAAACACTTCCCCAAAAAGTCCCTCCCCTGTTCCGACATAAAACTAGGAATCTCCGGCACCTCGCCGGAGAATCCGATCCTATAAACCACCGCCGCAGGGTCTCCGCCGCCGTGCCACGGCGCCTTCCCGGTGATCATCTCCAACACCGTGCACCCCAGAGCCCACACGTCAGCAGGGAACCCCTGCTGCTCCCCACGCGCCACCTCCGGCGCCATGAACGCCGGCGTGCCGGCGATCACAAACTCCTCCCCCACCCTCCGGGCGCAACCAAGGTCCGCAATTTTCACCCCTTTCTCCGTCACCAGCACGTTCTGCCCTTTCAAGTCGCAATGCACTATCCCATTCTCGTGGAGGTAGTTCAGCCCCTGTAGAATTTGGCGCGTGTAAAACCCCACCACCGCTTCTTCCATGCAACCACCGCGCTCCGCCAGCGTCCCATGAGGCGCGTACTCCATGAACACGTTGAACCAGCGCACACCGTTCTCCAACGTGACGTCACAACCTTGGTACGCCACAATTTGAGGACATTTCAACATGGAAAGAATCCTCTCTTCCCTTTTGAGAAATTCCGACCGGTGGAGCTCCGCTGACTTCACGGCGAACACTTGGCCGGACTGCCGGGACTCCGCCATATAAACAGCGGCAGTGGAGCCCCGGCCCAAGGTGTGACCTCTAGTCCACTCCATGTAAATAGATATGAGTATCTCGAAAAATTATCCTTTTGATTGGGTTTCTCTTCTGAGCAGATGCGTGGCAGAAGAGTTGAGATGAAAAGGGAGTGAAATTGAATGGTGAAGGATGTTAATTATGGTATTGAAGTGTGTTTTGGAGGGGAGGTAGCTGAAATTGTGAATTTGAAGATTTATATATGTGTGTGTGGGAATGTTAAGGTTAAGGTAAAGGGGTTTGGTGTGTTGTGGTTGGCTTAATGTAGAGGGTAAGAAAAGAGGTGATGATGTGGAAAGGCCTTAAATTTTGTTTGCATTGCACTTTTGTGATTGTGTCCAATGGACGGCCGCCGTCTTGTCCTTTCACGATCTTGTGATGGGAGGGGTCCACGTGTCAAAGGGAGGGTAGGGGTGAGAGCTTTTGTTGTTGTTCTTGTTCTTCTTGTTGTTGTTGCCGGCCAGGCTATGCTATGCTATGTGTTAGTGTTAGTGTTAGTGTTACATGGCTGGCATCAATGGATGAATTAATGAATGAGGCAGCTAGGTTTCATGGAGACGGTGCACATGGCGGCACGTGCTTCAGGGCTCACCGCAAAGATTGCGCTGAATGCTTAGTGAATCATGAGGGAACGGATTAATTGGAGCGTAACATTTTTCTCGCATATTCCCCGCCTATGTTTAATTCTTAAATCTTGTGTGGGCCCTAAGGAAAGATAAAAACCTGCTATGGATTTGGTGAGTCCCAATAGTTGACTAGAACTCTAGAAGTAGATGATTAGTTGTAATTAATGAATGTATGCGGCAAGGGGTATATACGGCGCTTTAATTTAAACGAAGTAGCGGCTCATCTGGTAAGTTAGGTGGATTGTATGCGAAGCAAATTGAAACGAATGGTATGCAACAGTGAAAGTGAATTTAAAGGCAAAAACCCACTAGGGTGAGTGTAAAGTGCGAGGAGTAGTGGTGAAAGCCTGAAAGGCAAGGGTGTTGGTTAGCACATATTGGACAGTTGGAATGTGTGTAAAGAAGAAAAAGCCAAAGCCAACTAACTGGTCGCACTAAGCCTAATCACCTTTGATTTAAAAGAAATAGCAACCAGGCTGTGTGAGATTCTTAACTAAGAAATTAAACAGTGAGTGGTGTGGTGTGTGAGTAGTTTAATTTGTTGGAGCGTTAGTATAAGTGTTGTTGGTTGAAAGTAAGGTGAAAGTGGAGGGACGGCGTGGGCTTTGACACTTTGCGTGCGTAATGTGAGGGCATCTAAGGAAGAGTCAATTTGAAGGAAGACAATGATTAAAGTCTCTATCATCACATGCCGCCAACCATTTTTTATTTCTATACTACTCTTTTCTTTATTTTGATTCCTCTGCTTCTGAGTGTGCTATGCAATCCATGCATCGGATCACGCTGCTGCATGCTGTACGGTGCCCAATCCACTCTACTCTTTACCTTTCCAAATTAAATTCATTATCTGTTTGAAACCCTATGCTTCCCTCATACTCATTGTCATGCACACATCACCTCTACTCATCTACCAAACGCCACAATAACCAAATCAACTCACCTAAGTTTAACTACAGTGCCTCCACCCTTTTAAACCTCTTGTTGCTAGCATTGCAATGTCAAAACAATAATATTGCCTATTCAATTTTTATTTCAAATATATTTTTAATTCTTCTACTTATATTTCATTTACTTCTTATTCGATAAACAATCTTAGTTTATGTATTCATTAGTACGGTAACCCATTCTTATTCACTAGTACTAAAACATTGCTCCATACTGTTCTTACCGGGAATCCGAGGTAGGGATGATCCGCTGGGTAAAATCGGTGAGTCTCCTTCACTGGTACGTTGATGCTCCAAGATGGGGGTGGTATCTGCAAAAGAGACTCCGATGCTAAAGTTAGTGTTTGTGAGTGTATGAGTCTCGTATAAGTAATGCACGTATCTTTGTGTGTATTAGGGTTTTGTTAGGCCTTGGGCCCGAGATTAGTTATGACCTAATTGGATAGCGAGCCGATGTCGCCTAGTGCGTGTCCGAGGTCACTCCGCACTGTGATGCCGGGCTCGAGCTCGGCATAGCGATACGGATAGCAGACTAGCCCCCTGAGCTCCGAAGACCGTAGGTCGAGGAGTTAAGACCGAGCTCAACAAGGAGTCGTGACTTTTCACATACGCCTATTTGTCATGAAGCCATGTGTCATAACCTTCACCTCGTTCCCATAACGCGTGGGCGGCGCGGTGACAAGATTATATTTTTATTTGTTTGATGACGTGGCCTCTTTGGACCGATATGGTGTTCCGATGTCCATGTTTCATGGTTCGGCTGAGGAGCTCGGTAATAATGAGCTTACTGCTTGGTTAGGCTAGTAAACCTTTGACCGAGTCAGCAGATTGGTGAGGGACAAGTCGGCAACTCGGCTGACCAGTACACTTGCCCCCCAAGCACCGAGTGATGTAAGAGCAAAGAGGCTTCTGAGGAGTTCCCAAATTTGTTGTTTGAAGGTTCAAATTCAACCTTGTTAAGTAGATGTGATCTCAAGGTTCGGACTCGACCTTGGCATATCAAGGTTCGAACTCGACCTTAGTTAAGAAAATGTGATCTCAAGGTTCGGACTCGACCTTGGCATATCAAGGTTCGAACTCGACCTTGGTTTAAGAAAATGTGATCTCAAGGTTCGAACTCGACCTTGGCATATCAAGGTTCGAACTCGACCTTTGTTAAGAAAATGTGATCTCAAGGTTCGAACTCGACCTTAACATCAAGGTTCGGATTCGACCTTGGCAACGTAATTTGTATTTGAAGGTTCGAACCCGACTTTAACATCAAGGTTCGAACTCGACCTTGGCAAGTCGTCATGGTTAATGTGCCAATACCGAAAATGTATGGGAATGGAGTTGCTTTGTTGATTTATTTCTGAGGTGTGCCTCGTTAAAACCTTCCTTGGCCAAAAACCCTTTTCTTTAGTGGGAAAAAAGGCTGAGGAGGAAAAAGAGTACATCACCTGAATTTACAAGTTAAGAGAAATAAAATTTGAGGTGGGTGGAATTCCAAGTTCCAAATTTTCCTTTGGAGGGGTCTGTTCTTGCTTCTCCCCGTAATCGCCAAACAAGGTCGCCAACTTTAAATGTTCGTGGCCTGACCTTGGTCTTGCTTTTCTTGTGATTTGTCGCGAATTACCTTGCAAAACTCGGTATGCCCCTCCATCTGGATGTACCCAACAGCACGAGCTCGGAGCTCGTCCATGTCGGGAGGAGGTCGTCGGCAAAGGCTGTCGACGAAAGGTCCTAGCTTCAACGCCATGAGCATGGAGTGCAGTGCGACCTCGGGGTTTAAGTTGCGGATTTTGACGGAGACGCCAGCGAAGCGCTCCATGAATGTCCTTAATGGTTCGTTGTCGCCTTGTCTGAGGCTGGCTAAGGGGGCGAATGTGATGTGATGAGGTCGACTCGTTGCGTATTGCGTCGTGAATCGCCTCACTAGGTGTCGAAGCTATCGACTGATCCCATTGGCAATTGGGTATACCAGGCGAGTGCCGATCCCTTGAGCGAGGTTGGAAAAACCTACACAGAATAGCATCTTCCCTAGTGTATAGGTTTACCTGTGTGACGTATAAGTAAATGTGTTCATCGGGATCCGTCGTGCCGTCATAGCAGTCGATGTGGAGGGGCTTTCAGCCGAAAGGCAGAGGTGTCTCCATGATGTCGCCCACAAAGGGATGGCGGCGAATGCTCGTCCGATTTCTAGGAGCTTGAGCTGGAGAGTTGCTGACTTCATGGGCCGAGTTGTTCGTTGGCACGTGAGACCGATGTGTGGTAGGCCGGGGAGTCGGTGCCCTAGGCGCGGTTGGGGGTTGAGAGACCGAGTGCCCCTCCTCTTCGTGTTGACTACTCGGTTGAGGGGGCTGATCAGAAAGGCGCCGAGGAAGCTGGGCGCGGATACGCTCGTTCTTGGCGCGCAACGCCACTAGGTCAGCCTCATTCGCGGTACGTAGCGCCGCTAGGTCAGTTTCATTGTTGGCACGAATGTTTTGCAGATCGGCAGTGTGTTGTTGCTTCATCTGCTCGACTTGTTCGATCAACCTTCTCAATGCTGCTTCGTTGTCCATGCTTGTCGTGCGATCTGCATCGTCTGTTGCGCGTCTACTATGGCTTCGGGTGAATACCATAAGCGTGGCCGATAAGAGCTGTCTTGATCAGCCCCACGGTGGGCGCCAAATGTTCTTACTGAGAATCCGAGGTAGGAATGATCTGCTGGGTAAGATCGGTGAGCCTCCTTCACTGGTACGTTGATGCTCCAAGATGGGGGTGGTACCTGCAAAAAAGACTTTGATGCTAAAGTTAGTATTTGTGGGTGTATGAGTCTCGTATAAATAATGCATGTACCTTTGTGTGTATTAGGGTTTTGTTGGGCCTTGGGTCCGAGATCAATTTATAACTTAATTGGATAACGAGCCGATGTCGCCTAGCACGTATCCGAGGTCACTCCACGCTGTAATGCCGAGCTCGAACTCGGCATAGCGGTACAAATAGTACACATACTAAACTTCTATGTCAATTGTTTTTCAACTAATGTAGAAGAATAGCCGATGGCATTTTTAAAATTTTGGCCAAGTGTTTTATGTCAGTTTTACAATCAATGTAAATATACATATTCCACGTTAGTTGTGAACCTAATCGATGTAGAAACGTTCATTGTACGTTAATCAACTGACGTAGAATGACTTTTAGTTATGCTCAGAATCCTTGTTTTCTTCACTTTTGTTTTTTCGTGCCTTTTTTTTTTTTGTCACTCTACACCAATCTACTACCACTACATTGCCACTATTCGTAGAAGCTTCTGCCCTTGGACCACCCCTTGCTCTGGCTCTTCATCACCCTCATTCTATTGCTTTTTTATCTTTTATTTTTTTTAGAGTATCCACCGTCGATAATAATAACTAATTTTTTTAATTTTTTTGTTGCCTTTAATTTGTGCATTGCATGTTACGTACGTTTTTCGATTGATGTTGATGTTATTGGACCATTATATCAGCTATTATTACTTAAATTTAGATGTTTGCAGAAATGCCTAAACTAATTTTTGGCTTAATTTAGCTTACTGTAGACACCAAATTAGATACGAAAATTTGCCTATGACTTAGTTTTGGCTTAGCTAGGGTGTCAATGCACCACCTTAGGCACCACAAAATTTAGTCATATATACCTTAGGCATCACGCCTTATAGGTTAGTTAGTGTAGGTTAGTTGGACTATCAGTTAGTATAATATTTATTAGTTAAATTAGTTTAGTGAATTAGTAACAAAACTAGTACAAAAATATCATTTTATACTGTCTTTTCGCATCGAATTTGTAACAACCAATTAGAAAGTAATGTTTTTGTAATTTAACACAACCTTTTTTATATCAATTCTAAAATAATTGTGATGAATATGGCTTGAAAATATTTATCATATATAGTAAATAATTATAATTTATTCATCAAACTAATGGTTTAGTTGATATTAACCATTCATAAGGAAATATTTATGTTGTTTGTATTCTAATATAAATAAGTATATAGGATTGTAACAATTCATTTAAGTAAAAGAATATAAGTAATAGGATTTAATCTTTAGAGAATATTGTGAGAGATAAAAAAAAATTATTGAAAATTTTTCTTTGTAATTGTATTCTTTTTTTAATAATAAAAATTCTTCTTAGTATAATTATATAGTTATATTTTTATGTCAAATACAATTTTAGTATAACAATAATTGATGTAAATGTTTTAAAAACTTAAATTTAATGGAGTTAATTTTTGGTATAGTTTCTCTCAACACATGTTCCTCTAACTAGTGTGACGAGTAATATTCAGACAGTCATTTTATTCTACATAGGTGACTTTACATCAGTCATGCAATTAATGAATAATATTATATATGTAATAGTTTACATAGATAATTTAATAATTAGAATACCCTTATTTAGAGTGGGAATGAAATAAATAAATTAATGTAATAATTAGTTATTTAAAGAAAGTGATCAATTATATAAGAGTTTTTCTCTAAGTTTACTTTTATTTATACTAGCATATTAGAGAAATTTGATACCTCTCTGTATTTTTTTTAAAATAAAATAAAAGTGAATGATTAATAATATGAGGATGTGAATATTTTTTGGATAATTATAATCATAAGGGTAGTTTTTGATATACATAACCTTGAGTATTGTAATATTCGGGTCACCGCACCGTCAACCCAAGATTGTACGTGTTTCGATATTTAGGAGGCATTTTATGACATATGTTATGAAAGTGCAATACTCAAGAGTTAGTCAGAAATTCTATGATCAACACAGTATCTTGCCATTTTGGGAACACTCTACAATATGTGCCATGAAAAAGCTGCAATTTGCGAGTGTACTGTATAGGTTGGTGAACAGGTCATCACAAATCCGATCCACAAAGAGATCATCAAGGTACCCTTCACTAAAGACTCTTCGTGCTCGTGCACTTGAGTACGAGGGGTTGTGTATCATTTGAGTGGTCAAAATGTTGACCCAATATTGTGTCTCATAATTTGGATGACACTTTGTCATATGTGTTGTGAAGATGTCTTTGCATTTTGAAGACATTCCATGACATGAGTTATAAAGATGTCACAATTTACAAGATTGTATAGTATTAGCAACAAACGGTCATAAATCCCGTGATTTACAAACCCATTTAAGAATAATAAGAGTATAATGTCATCTACAGGTTAATTTGGGGGTAAGAGATAAAGGATTATGATCAAAACATGGACTTGATATATAGAAGGAGACTCCCAAGTTAAAGGTTAGGTTACATTTATTGAATGTTCTGATCTAAGATAGCAACTAAAATTTTCTAGAGGCAATCTCATATACTAAAAAAAGTATATATATAATATTACATAATTCAACAATTAGATTAGTTAAATTTGTATTATATAAAAAGTTATTAAAGATATAAGATTTTATCTAAAGTTTTAAATTTACATACTTTGTCAATGAATTCTAATCTAATATATATATATATATATATATATATA